AAAAAAAAAAAAAAAAAAAAAAAAAAAAAAAAGAAAAGGATGAAAGAATGTAGCTTTCAACAAAAAGCAACAATCATTGTATAAAACAATTCTAATTGGTAAACAGAATTCGTCTCTAATGTGTGAAAGATCCCCACGTTTCTTCGAAAAAATTCTGCAGCAAAACTTGGTCAATAACTGCAAGTAACAAGGAAAAAAATCTTCTATTTGGCCATGTGATGAAAACGTTGTGGGCTAGAGGCGTTTAGAACTTTTTGAAGGGAAGCAATAAATAATATGGTTAAGATTTATGGGATTTTATCGCAAATTACAGAAAAATCTAGTTACTTATAGCTGAAGCTCACTATTATCTATATAGGTTTTTTGAAAATCTTCTGAAAAAGCGTTGGCAAGAAGAAGCCAATAATACTGATTTAGACGAGTGAAAGATTTTTGGAACCAAACTCATTATTACGCACTGATAGCAGCAGTCTCAGTGATGCGCTAAAAAATATGAATATGGAGAGGGAAGGGAAACGGAAAAGTTATCAAATGTAATTTTTGAAAAAAAAAAAACATTACATTTAAATACTGGACAAATGAACTGACAGTTAATCGAGTTTAGTAGGAAGTTCGGCAGACTAGAGAATTTGAATCATCGAACTGTTGCCGCCAGGAAACTGTAGTTACATAAAGCAGTTAAGGTCATACAAAAAAGCTGTTCGTTTCCTTAACAAAGAAGAAGAAGTAAAAAGAAAGAAATATAAAAGCACAAACTTAATTAGTTCTTAAGTTCATTACAGTTATGAAGAAAAAACTTGTTTAGAAGAATGTCGTTGTATCAGAAAAGAGTATTTCCTTGCGAATAAACTTGGCCGTAAATCGATCGACAAGCGATTATAATTCATTACTTTGTTACTAGTGCCTTATTTCCAGATGCTAGACGCTTAGTCTCACTGAATTTGTTTGGTCAACCTAATAGTAGCAACAGTACTGCAAATTGATGTTGTTATTTCTTCCGAAAATTTTAGACTCCTTTTGTTCTTGTTTATTATTGCATTTTCGCTGAAAATTTGAGCAATTTTTAGCTTTCAAATTTTTTTTTTTTCATTTTCTTTAGGTCGTTCTTTCGCTTTTTAAATAATTGCTTTCAAATTTATTATCCATCAATCTCCTACGTAGTCTACAAAATTGTAGACTTCTTCTCTATTACAGTATTACTCGCTTTAATCACCGGTGCAAAAAACTATGACTTAAGAAAGTCCAGAGTAGAATTCAAGAAATTTTTATTGATTTAGATAGACGGAACGCGAAATAGGTTCCCCAAAACAATCTGGAGTCCTTCTACTTTTGGAGACTTAAAAAGGGAAAACTTTATCTTTCTGAGTTCATTGAAAACTTATTGAAATGTTTCACCAAAGTCTTTTTGGTTCTGGTTAAGTTAAAATTTTCATCTTTTAATAAATCCTTTTTACTATTTGATACTTTACATTATATTTTATATATTATGCTTTAAACGTTTGCTGTTTCCGGACCATCCAGCATCTCTTCTTCTGAGTTACGTTGATTACTGAAACGGTAATTACTGCAAATAAAAAAAAAAAACTAATTCACTCGTTTGCTTTTTATTTTTTATTTCATGTCCCTGGTTAAAAAGCGGATTTATGTCATGACAGTAGAAGAGAAAAAAAGCAGTAGGCAATTAAATTAGACCAAATGGAGTCAAAAAAATACTCCAAGCAAGACGGAATAACAGAATATTACATTACATACAGGATATTACCCTTATAAAGAATCCCTGTTACCTCAAATATTGATTTATTCTATGCAAAACACCTGTAAATATTAAGACAGTGGCAAAACAACAGAAATATGAAACACTGATCCGAAATACTTTTGTCATTTGAAAATAGCCAGCTTTTGGGCAACAGCAACGACACGATAATTCATATCATGCTGGTTCATACTCATCGGATATCCCATACAGATGCCGTGCGTCTACGCCACTGAAACTTAATCAGTAAAAAAAATTCTTCTAAATTATTAGCCTCCAAAAATTTTGCTTTATTAAAACTTCTCTTATAATTTGCCTACCCACCAAATTTAGCTAATCGTACTGTTCGAGTTGCTTTAAAACAGCAACAAAGTCCGATAGATCCTACGTACAGCACTGTACTTTTTAATTCGTTACGAAGCATAAGTTATCACTTTCTTCATGTCTCATTGATAATGCAGGAAGGTTTTGTGATGAACTCTCTCAGAAACCATCAACATTTTTCACTTGCTTCATTTGCATACCCCATCAATACGTTTATCAGCTTAGCAGTGTCATTTACCCTGGCAAATAATAAGTTGACTACTAGTGTGTTCAATCTTTTTTGAGCATTCACTTATGTCTCATAGCATTTTAGCAGTTTCGCTGGTACCCACCATATCAACTATTTGATTAAATTATTTGTTTTATCTATGCGGAAGCCACACCAGCCAAATGAACTGCCGCTAGCTTTTAACCTCAAAATTCATAAACATGCATCTAGCATATCGCCACTCTAGGACTTGCAAATCAAAATGCTACTGCTTAAACCAACCGTATCTTACAAAAAAAAAAAAAGCTTCAACGGTAACTTCAAAATCCACAACAAGCAACTTCTATTTGAAAACAAGCCTTTCCAGAAAGGAAATAAATATAAATAAATAAATAAATATAAATAAAAATATAAGGAAAATAAAAGACAAAAATATAAAATACTAAAATATCAATGAAAATTAAACTCTTGCATTAAAAAAGAAAAAATTAAAGGACGAAAACAAAGCCTACTGCTTAATTTAACACTCTGTAGTGATTGATTTGCTTCTGTAATTAAACTGCAGGAAAACATTTAATGTATATCATATTCAATCTCAAAAGAGCCGTTTGATCGAAATTAGTGAGAAACAAACAAGACTTCGTACTCAGAGAGCACATCTTGAAATGTAATCAAAAAAAATTTTACAAGGTGTTTCGTTTCAAAAGCAAGATTATACCCCGAAGTGCAAACAACCTGATGAACATAGTCCTGAAACAAAAATATTAAAACATAAAGAATGGAACCGAAACCAGAATAGAAAACTCCATAAACCGTCAATGATAAAAAACAACTAATATCACAATAGCCCTCTCCAGCTGGCCTGACATTTACTAAAACTTGTAATTCTGCTAAGTTCATTCCTCACTCATGAGATCAAAGTGACAAATGTCCACATTTACATAAACTTAGTAAGCATCAGGCAAGAGAGGATGTATAAAGCAATTTCGAAAGAAGCCTCTGATCCTTCAAAGAATAAATTCGTTTGTCACATTAAAAAAAAGTAAGAAAAACAAGTTTTGCATCTGTTACAGAGAGTGAGTGAAACCATTTTTACAGACGAATGACGATATATTAAACTGTAGTCATAAATAAAATATGAAAGGCCTAGGTAACAGCCTCGCATAACGGTCACAGATATTGAAGACATTAGCATAAAAGGAAACCGTCATAAGGCTTAAAGCTTAAGGTTGCTGGATCTTGGAAATACGGCTTAAATTAAGAAAGCCTGGGAAGTACAGAGTTAACTCGATTGGTCCAAAAATTTGCACACTGTTTGTGGTAATCAGTGCCAGCAAATTCTAATAACGTATCATCGGTAATTTCGACAAGGCATATATGACACATTTTAATCATTAAACCATTGCTCGTGGACTTTGGTAAATTTTGAGAGAAATAAACATATCCTCTAATCTTCTCCCATATAGAGTCAATGGTCTTCAAAGACGCCTTGCTTTCGGAAAGTTCAGCATCACGTCCTTCGGCTATGCGTTGTACCTGTAAGTCCTATGTCTCTCGAGGAAGAACTTTAAAAAATTTCTAAACAAGGACCTGCTCACAAGCTAAAAATCAAAGCCTAACTTCCTCTGCTAACATTAAAGGTTTTCTAAAAATGTAAAGACAAAAAGTCCGTACCATTTCAAAGACACCTTTCAAACCCAAGAAGTATCGTGATCCTTTTTCTGTATGGCCTACCATTTCAATTATTTCCTTAGAGTACGATCCGAGTAGAGCTTCACCGGCTTCAAATATTTTCCGAGCTTCATCAATGCACTGTTGCCAAACAACAATTTTTTCACTCGCCTACAACCATGACTCAAAAAAGTGGTTTCTGAAATATCTGAAACTTTACAGAAAACGTGAACAAGTTACCTCACTAGTGCCATTATCGCCTTCCACCATCTTCACTGCCGCATACATATCAAAAGAACCTGAAAGAAACATGTGAAAAAATAAGCTTTTCAGCTTCTAACACTTCCAGCACTAATCAGCAAATCTTTAAACGAGAAATACTCGCTGATCTTCGCGCGTTAAGAGTACAAAATCCTCTTGTAAAAAGTACAGGTTTAAAACCATAACTTGAAGGATTCAAATAATAATAACTTTGTGAAAAAAATACCTTCTCCACTAGAAGTTGACTTTTGATGCAAATGGCTGGGTTTGGATGCAATATCGTCCTTAATTTCTAAAGTTCCTTCAGCAACTGAGAGATCCCCAAACTCATCATTGCCTACCGCTTCCGGAGCATCTTTTAAAGATGCCGTTACATCTGACACCCTATTCAAATTCGCAGTTGACTTCAACTCTTGTTTATCAGTGAGCCTTGTATTCTGTACTTCAGAACTACTTGAGGGACCCGAGAGGTCGAGCAGAAAATCCAAAGAATTTTTTTGAGGCAAATTAGTCTGCTTAAGATTTTTCCTTTCCTTACAAGAATTTTCCAAGCTCGCTCCGAAAACTGCCGAGGCATTATCTCCAGATGCACTTTTCTTCAAATCTTCTGAAGCACTCGAATCTACCCCTGATGCTATAAAGGTATGAGATGACGAATCGTTAGCAACTTTTTCAGGTCTAGCCACCGAGCCAGAGGCAACAAAGTTTACACTTGCTGGAATTGACTGGGACGTCTTCATAAAGCCTGCCCCACTACCGTCGAAACCAGAATCAGTTTTCGAACTTTCCATTATTTTTAAATTTGATGCAGCCTTCTGGGAACTTCTAACATCTAGCGACCTGGTGAAGTTTAATGCAGCACTTTCTGCAGCTGAAGGGAACTGCTGTGTACCAAAGTTTTGAACACTAATGCTAGATGGAAATCCACCAGACCGCTGTATGAAACTTGGCTGTACAGTGTTACCATAAGAGCAGAAAGAATTGGATCCAGCAGCAACATTTTTGAATATGTGCTGTCCTTTTCCAGTTTTTGCCGCAGGAGGCTGAGGAAGCTGCAACTGAGGCACTGGAAGCGTAGTCACAAAAGACAGAGCGCACAGGGTCTGACCCTTCTAAAAAATATTGCATAGTTTGCAGTATCAAAACCTAACCAGACATTTTTTGATAATAATCAGAAAGAATATATGGTCGTTCAAAAACAGACCAAAAATAAAATTTATTAAAAAGAATTAAATTTACATTTTATTGCAACAAACAACCAAAACAAACCTGAGCAAGTGCAATTAAGGCCAAACAGGAGTAAAATTCTTGTCTAGTTAATTGACCCGGTAGTGTTCTATTCACGATAGTCCATATATAACTGAGCATTGAACGTGGTAAACCAGATGCTACCATTAAATTATAAACGCAAGCAGTATTGGGAAGCTGTGATAGATGCGCAGCACCACAACTTGCGATAGCATCCTTGTAGAAGCGTGGGACCCTTGATTCTTCCAGCAAAACTGGAGGAATAACACCCCCACCTTTCATCAACGGAACTAAAAAACCATCTAGATTAAACATTACAAATCACCTTCCTTTATCATGACAAATTGCTAGAAATAATTATTCCTTTTTTTAATCTATGACTTCCTAAAAGTAGCAAATTTTTCACGACTGAAAACAGATACTTACATATTGCAACAATAATGCTAACTATCGGAAATCCTTTAAACTGAAAATCCTCCAGCACACACCAAGGACTTCAGAAAAGGAGAAAAAATTGAAAAACAAGCATAGGGTCAACAGCCCATCCAGAAGCTGAACTGTTGCATAATACCTACCACGACCGCTAGAGGAAGAGCTGGGTTGATTCCCACTGTACTGCATCAGTTAAATTCTTCTGGACTTCAGTTATCCGTAATCAAATCAAATAATTAACATCGTGAACGAAATGCAAGATCAACTTCTGCTAAAAATCTTTAATTTTAAATTATTTCCAAAATTGATTATAAGGTAGTAAACGTGGTAGGAAGGTGCCAGTTTTTTCAGAAATAAAGCAGAATGATAAAATGGCAAAAATGTAAATGCCATTCAGAATTATTAGTCAATCTATTCAGATCACTCGCCATACTAAAAATAAATTTTTTATTGAACACTCATAGAGAAAAGGAAAAATTATGATGGGGAAGGATGAGTGAATACTACAATAAAGCCTTTCAATTTACAATTAATTAGCAGCACCATTCAATACTAAACTAATATAACAACTTCTGTCGTTGTGCCGATATGAATTAGAAACACTATCTATGGAATGTAAGAAAAGTCGTGCAACAATAACAACAACGAGAACAAAGAGATTAATTTTTGCTTGAAGTGTAATTTATAGTTGGAAAGACTTGAATTAGCGAACAAGATAGCAACGAAGCAATGATTACAAAACCGACACTGTAGAAGCAATAATTCAGAAATCATCATTAAAAAATCATTCTGAACAAGCAGTCCAAACTTACGGTAACTTTTTCTTAGTTCTTGAATCAAAACAAATCTATCCTATCATCTAAACTACCTGTCCATAATGACGAATTAATCCAAACAAAAAAATCTAACCCCTCACTTCTTGACCATGACTAAAATGCAAAGAAAAAATTAAACAAATACCTATTACAGTAAGAAAGAAAATTAAAGCACCTTTGAAAAATTAATAAACATTAACACAAACTTCTGGAGAATGAAAGACCACTTATAAGCAAATCGGGCATGGTCATAACTGTTGCTCATAAACACTTTCTGAGAAAAAAATATACAAAATACGATAAAAAACAATAAAAATCATATAAAATCTGTTAAACTGAAATCTAAAAAATAATCCTCTTCTTTTTAACTGCAGAAATTAACGTATTTACAATGACAATAACCACATAATTAATAAATATGATACAAAAACAAACCGTGAAATTTAGCCAAAGGCAAATGGTTAGCACCGTGACCACAGAAGGCAGTTTTATGAAAATTATGCAAAAAAGTATCTTCTACCCATTGAAAAAAAGGTAAGGCAAGACGCGCATGAAAATATATTAACGATATGTATCAAGGCCTATAGATTAAAAATTTAAAAACCCAATGTACAATGTTTTACGTATCTTAAAGGCCAATTTAAAAAAGATTAGATTCTGATACTTATTGTACAATGCTCTGTAAAAAACGAAAGAAAAGAACTGTATGAAGGAATAAAACAAATCTAATCTTTCCATTTAGAAGTGATCTTAGCAACCGTATTGTATTCTAGAGCAAAATTGAGCTTCAAAATTAGATAAGAAAAAAATTATAAAGGCAATTTCATCACTCCTGCATTCCAACTATACGAGAAATTAGGCATAGTAAAGCAATGTCACTCACCAGTAATCATGTTAGGAAAATGAACTAGACGTTAACAAATTATGCAATCACAGTTAACCTTAAAAAACTCACAAAAAAATAAAGTACACTAATTAGAAAATAACGAGTCTCTCATCGACTCAATCCTTCTAAGTGAAAAAGCAATATCTATTACGTATTCCTTAAATAGTCGAGTCTTCAAAACCATCGTGCAGGAGTAAACTTGCAAGCTGTGGCTTTGTAGCTAGTCCTTCAACTTTACTTAACAGGCAGCGCTCATAATCAGCAGGAACAAGATGCGAACTACAGATATGGTCATGATAACGTAACCTCAACGCAGGCTCCACTGCCCGCATCAGATGAACTTCCGACTGACCAAGAAAAAGAGAGGACAAATCTAAGAGCAGTTTATCTTCCTTCAAGCGTGATCGAACTCGAATAAAATCAGCGCCATATAGTGAGCATACAGAGAAATCTGTGGGATCAAAATGTCCCTGATCCTTTAAAAAATAAAATTGTAAGATTTTTAAACATAACATAATAACTAAACATTTTTATGAAAAAAACTAACACTTACAAATATTCCAAATTTTTTGTTTCCTTCAGGTCAAGAAAATAATCAGCAAAACAAAATTAAAGAAACAAAAATTCAAGAAAAACCTTGTGTACAACCAATAGCTTGTTCCCTCTGCTCACTGCATTTTGGTGTTTCATAAACGTTTTAAGACCAAGACGAATTTCCTCTGCACTCTTTATTTCACTTTTTGACGTTGACTTTGAGCCTGCTTTAGCTTGCAAAACCTCGCTCGCATTGACAATTTGAAAATGATATTCCAAAAAAGGTAAAGGAAAGAAAACCTAAATACATTATGTTAGAAAAAAAAAAAACGTGAAAAGATTTACTTTAGAAAGAAACACTTTGAAACGTCGCTATGCAAGTTCAGTTACTTGAAAATGCTTTATTGTATTTATCCGGACTCGATCCAAAAATTCCCTCTGAATGTCTGCATGAGGGGACAGTAAAAGATATATCATGTTTTGGCCAAAGTGATCTACAGCTTCATCCAAAGCAGCTGCCGAAAGCACTTGGTGGCTGGTTGGCTTCAAAGCTAGAAGCATTGTCTCAGTTCGTGACGCTTTGCATCTAAATTTGTACTTTTACAATTAGAGCAAGATTATAAAAAATTGAAGAAAACAATATTAATTGGTTATAAACCTGTTTTTCAGCTCAACGAGGTCATTGTTAATAAGTCGAGATGCGACTGCAGTGATCGACCGCACAGCTACAACCACCCTTGTCTGCCGTGGATCACCTGCGTAAGTTTGACAGAGACGGGCATGTCTCGCCAACAGACGCCTTGCGGGGGTGACTTCAGCCATAGACCCAACAGGAACTACAATCGTTAAATCTGTATCCTCTTTTACGTAAGGAACCTGAATACAACAAGCAGTTTTAACCAAACATTCGAGCATCGTTCTTAAATAATTAAAAAATGACAACAAATGATTCACAGCCATAAAAACACTGCAATAATCAACACCCTGCACCTGGTGCATAAGTTGAGTATGAACAATCGGCCGATTCAAATGAATTCGATGAAATAAAACTTCATCATCTGAATTTCTGTATTTTAGATCAATCATGTAATCCATCCCCCTCATTGGATCAAAAGCCCGATAACCATTACGCATTTCAATGAATGTCATACCACAAGCTGGACCTCCATAACTTTCAGCAAATGTTTTAGCAGCCCGAAGCACCTTCAAGGAAAAAGGTGAAAAATTGCGCTTACATCAAAAAAAGAAAACAGACAGATAAAAAAATTTGTAAAAAAAATAGAAGACACCTCCTCAACATCTTCCTTGTCGTCACCCTCCAAATCATACACATTTTGGTTAGGTTCATTTTCAAAAATTTTATCCTCAGTAAAGTATTGCCATTTCAACACCTAAAATCGATTAGTAAAGCAGAAACAGGCTCTAAATTTTAACCACTGTGCAAGAAACTTCAACAAAATCAAAAACAAAGTATGTAAGTAAACCTGATATCTGTTAGGAGGCTTAGAATACGGAGCGATGCCAACAGGCCATGTTGGGCCATCAGCTATTTCGTCTCCCATCGCCCCGATTTCTTCTACTAGCCCCAATATCTGCTCGTCTATTTTACTGAGTTCAACACGAACGAAATGTTCATGCAGTGCATGCGCATCAGCTTCTGAGAGTAAAGGAGAAACACTCAATGATTTATTGAACTCCTCAGATTTTGACCATAAAGTGACCGTATCGTGAATTGCTACACTACCATCAGCCCCACTAGCACTTGACATTTCATCAACTTTCCACCAGTTATAATCGCGTCCCTGAATAAAAACTCTGCTAGCAATAAATGCAAGCTTCCTAAAAACCTCTAATAAAATAAAAAAAAAATTTGCTCTAACGCTGAAAACGGTTTCCAGTCTAGATAAAGGTGGCAAATTATAAATCGAAAGTTTCAAATCCGCAATAAACCTGGTAACTGGTGATGCAGGATAGATTAGTTGCGTGATGAATGCACATTTCAAACGCTCCTTGATCAGAGTTTGTAATTATAGAGTTGCAAAGGTGCCTTTGTCTAAAGAAGAGAATTCTAAATTGAAAGACACACGAAAAAAGCATCTTACTGAAAAAGAAAATACTAAAGCTTTAAAATATTTCTAAGTCAGTATAAAAAGAGAAAATTAGAAGACTAACTGTATCAGAAACTGCATTGCTGGATTTGAAAGTAATATGCCAGCTTGAAATAAGCATTTATTTTCATTTGGGGATTTCGCTTGTTTGCCAATTGCTACCCTTCTGTTCCAATTAACATGATTTACAAATCGCATAAGCTCGAACGGATTGACGTAAGTTGTGTCTGGCATCAAGAAAAACCAGTCATAATTTTCGTGCAAAGTCTTAATTGAAGGAATACATTAAATATAGTGAAAAAGTAATAAGGTAAAAAATTAAACAGCATTAAAACACCTTTAGACCAAACCTACTGCCAACTGCAGATTTGCGAGGAAAGGCTCAAAATGAGAGTTCTAAAATTCAAAGTTCCTTACCAAATTAAAGATGCTATTTAATATAGCAACATGAGCATGTTGTCCGTTCGCTCGATATGGTGTTAAATTAGGCAAGGAGGCTAGTTCGGCATCTAAGCGCGACGAATCAGCAAAAAGGTGTAAACGAGGTACATGAAGACCGATAGAGTTATTGAGTGCAACACTCAGCGAAGACTGACTCAACATAATTACAACTAGCTTTTCGCGTATTCCTAATTCAGTAGCTGCAAATCGTGCCCGAGCAACCTGACAAATACAAGTGGTGGAAAACTCCAAATAGAAAAATAAAACAAAAAAAAAAGTAAAAGATATGGAGAATGAACTTCGAATTACTCAGATGCAGTAAGTTAATAACAAAAAATAAGATTAAAGTAATCCATCCCTTGGTAGTTTAGACGTAAAACAATTCCCCAAAAGTCAATTTTTACTAGAAAGTTAAAAAACTAGTAAAATACGATTAAAAAAACTAGCATCAAAGTGAATAAAGAGATCTCTTGTATCAACAAAGGAAAGAACACCTTTGTCACTTGGCTCTGAGTGTTAGGCGGTTTCGAAACCTTTTTGACTACAACCTTCCAGTGTTCGGTAGAATCCTCATCATCTGACATCGATGACTCAGGTATCGGACAACTGGGTAACGATACAAGTTCGTCATATGGGAACATAGAAAGTGAAAAAATCACCCCAACAAAGAGTCCTAAAATGAGCGGAACTCCTGTCCGCCCCCCATAAACCATCGATTCTTCTGCTGTAAGGGAAAATAACAACAGTACCGACAAAGTTAGCAAACAAAAACGAGTAAACTGAGTAGTAATTGTCAAAAATCCTAAACCAAGAAGAAAATTATTTTTTGAAATTAGCGTACTATTGCAATACTGTTAAAAATCTGCTTCTTTTAAACTCACCGTACAGAATGCCGATCTAGATAAAAAAGAAAAACGAAGATGACAGACTACACTGTATCCAAAGCAATAATAACTTCCACCTTCACTGACACTCCTAAATCAATATGAGTTAGCCAACAAACTTAAGTAAACTACGGTCATTAATACGAAAGCTACGTAAGTACCTAACGACACCGAAAAGAAAAATCATTTATGACAAACAGTATTTTTTGGAGCAAATCTCTGCCAACATCAAACTTCTGTCAAGAACTAACAGATAAACAAACTTTACAGAAACCTCCAAAAAAAGCTAAACTAAGTGCTAAATGCCTTTAATTTAATCTAACCAAACACTTGACGCTAAAGTGATAAGTAGAAAAAAAAGCAAAAGAAACAAAAAACAACGTAAACAGTAACTGGCAAAAAAAATTTCGCCTGATCTCTTCATTAAGGAACAACTTTTCTAGTTCGCCTTCTTCAGCAATAGAAGCAAAACAATTTTGATTGCTAACGTAAGTTTAGAATGATGAGCAAAAGTGGTATTCGTATACAGAACTTATAAGTGAAGAAAAAATTTGAAAAACATGTACGATATAAATAAAGGAAAAAAAGCGACAAAAAAAGTTGTGCAACAAAAAATATACTTTTCTTCAACTAAAAACAACAACTTTTTCATTCAAATAAGACTTTAAAAAAGTTTGTAGTGAAAACGCTTATAAATTTTTGTAGAAACTGGAAATAAACAAATAATGATTGTTATAATGTTTGTACACTTTATTCCTCGACTGTTGCTTGGCACCGGCAGTACGTCTTGATTCGATTTTGCCACTTTTTCGTTCGTTTAAACGTCAGTGAGTGCGTTTTTCGAGCCTGATGACCGCCGCGGACTATTTGGGTGTCGTCGTCTCCGTTTTTGTGCTATTGTTTGTTGAACGGGCAAACAGTTTTCAATGAACATTTTTGTATGTATTACATTCATTATACAAATCATACATGAAAATGTTCTATTATATAACACTAACGTAATTTCCGCTTAATGCAACAACAGTTCACCTAATTCATCCAAAATTTTTCTCCATGCGAACATAATGCAAAGTATACGTATTTTT